TATAAATATATTTATATATAAATATATTTTTATATATTATATATTATATATATTTATATATAAATATATTTATATTGAATATATAAATATTTATATTAAAAACAAATCTGTGATGTGGTAATATATATGCTTCTTTATTAACGTATTGAATAACGCAGTCTAGACTAACAGCTACCACGATTTCAATGTCGTGATGAGCAGAGATATTTTGAGCTATGTGCAACAATAGCCACATGGCATTAAAAGATCTGTGATTTCTCTTGGTGACAAGAACACAGGTACTATTAATACTTCTGTGTGTGTGGCCTACGGTTAGAAGAGAAGAAAGTGTTACAACTCAGTTAGCAGTTAGTGATAATAGGATGCAATTATTTTTTCTACCCAAGTTCACGGATCCTCTGAATTCTGTTCGTCAACTGCTTGGGGAGCTGTGACCACAGGTTAAGAACTTCTGGCCTGGATGCTCCAGTTTCCATTGTTTGATCGCTTATTTCTTTTTTTGGCCACACTGCGTGGCTTGCGGGATCCTAGTTCCCCAACCAGGGATGGAACCCGTGCCCCCTGCCGTGGAAGCGTGGAGTCCTAACCACTGGACCAGCAGCGAAGTCCCTGATTGCTTATTTCTTTCTTCAGTGAGTCAGAGTCAGCTCTTATTTAATCATTAACTACTAACGAACCACTGATAAAGTGATCACATGTGTCACTCTCAGGCAGGAGCAGTACGGCCCCTGGACATGTACTCGCTTTCTAGTTTGCAGAGCCATGGCCTCATGGTAGAGCTGGAAAGGGCCTCGGACCCTCTAGGAGCCAAACTTATCCCATGTAGGAGGGTGAGCGACCTCAGGGACTGTGCCAGGTCAGGGCTACCTGGGCCTGCACCTCCGTCCCAGGGCTTTCCCACGCCATAGGCTTTTCCTATGCCCGAGTGAGTGAGTGGCCCTTGCTCACCACACACACACACACACACACACACGGTTGTATAAACAGTCCCGCAAAATGGTGACACTGGCACCACAGCACTAATGCAGAGAAGCAGGGGCCTGGCCCAGACACGAGGCAGCTCTCTCCTACAAATGCCCACCCGCCTCACTCCCTCTGGCCATGGGGGAGGTGGGAAAGTTTTGCCCAGCACATCTTCTCCCCAGCTTTCCTCTCCCTCAAGGGAGGCAAGTACAGCGTCAACACTTGTCACCATTTCCCCGCTTTCACCACTGTTTTCACCTCTGACCTCCTGCTACCGTCTCCGGTTCCTGCCGGCTTAGCTCAGGGCCCTTCTCTCCTTCCTACTCTCCTTTTCTGCACTACACCTGTCAGCCAAAAAGTAACCCTCATCTGGCTAACACATGTCAATGGTACTGTTGAAATCCACCTGGCAGAGGACAGGAGAGCTCTCAGTTCCAGAGGGAAATTAGACCTGACGGCCGTGAGCTCCTGGCCCTGACTTGTGGAAAGCTCTCTGTGAAAGTCTGCTTACATGAGTTATTGGGCCCAAAACTCCAAAGCTCCCTGGAGTCTCCTCTGGGGTTTCCACCAAGTCACTGCCTATCCCTCGCCTTCCTCTAATTAAACTGGCTTTTCCTCAAGCAACAGTATTCGAGAGAAATAAAGTGCTTTCAATCAATGTTATTGGTCCTGTTTGCAGCAGTATTTCTTGTTACCATTCTTCATGCCATTGTGTGGGATAATTAGTTTGGGGGGGTTGTGGGGAGCGAGGGAGGGGGTGAGAATGGGAGGGGAGGGCGGAATGGGGGTGCTAGCCTGAGAATCGCTGTCATCTAACGTTGTGTCTTGGGATGTGAGCTGTGTGAGGCGGGCAGTCTGTGTAGGGCGTCCTGAGCGTGCAGGGCTGCCTCTGTGCCCCCTCCCAGTGCCCGGCACCATGCCGCCTTCTCCCTCGGTAAGTTGCTGGCAGGTGGTGGTGTCTTGGTTCTCCTGTCGTGTGCCTGGCTCAGTGCCATGGTGTACGGATGGGCTGTAGACACTTGTCATTTTGATTCTCACCTTGCAGGAAAATTTCATATGAAGGCAGACAGGCCTATCTTTTTACAATAGAAATTGCCAATAGTTGAAAATGCTGCTGTGTGCCAAGCGTTGTGCTGAGAAATTCACAAGCATCATCTCGCTTAACTCTCCAAAAGCAGCCAGAGAGATCCTTCAAAGTGTAAATCACATCCTGCCCCTCCTCTGCTCCAGACACTCCAAGGGCACCCGTCACACTTGTTGTCAGGCCCCTACCATGTCCTACAAGGCTGGTATGGCATGACCCCTGGCTCCTGCTTCAACAGCATCCCCTCCTCTCCCTTCTCCAGTTCACCACACTCCTTACTGCTCCCGGAACTGGCCAAGAAGGGCCTGCCACAGGGCCTTTGCACCGCTTCTTCCCCTCAGGCTCTGCCCAGCTCACTTCTTCACTTCATCAGTCTTCTCAAGTGTCTCTTTGGAGAGACCCTCACGCCATCTAAAGCACCACCCGTGTCACGCTCTGTCGTCTTCCCTGCCTTCCTTTTTTTTTTTTTTGAGGTACGCAGGCCTCTCACATTGTGGAGCACAGGCTCCGGACGCGCAGGCTCAGCGGCCATGGCTCACGGGCCCAGCCGCTCCACGGCATGTGGGATCTTCCCAGACCGGGGCACGAACCCATGTCCCCTGCATCAGCAGGCGGACTCTCAACCACTGCGCCACCAGGGAAGCCCCCCCCTTTTTTTTAGCATCTTTATTGGAGTATAATTGCTTTACAATGTTGTGTTCGTTTCTGTTATATAACAAAGCCTGCCTTCCTTTTTAACAGCACTCCACAAACCTAGCCATGTTATTACAAATCTATTTGTTTGTCTATTACCTGTCTCCCCCACATGAGGGCAGGGACCTTGTTTTGTTCACTGCTCTATTTCCAGCACCAAGAACGGTGCCTTCAATATAGTAGTTGTGAAGAAATATATAGTCAATGAATAAATAATGGACGAATACTCACAAAACCCCATGATGTAAGTGCTACTCTTAACTCCATGTTATAGATGAGAAAACTGAGGCTTAGAGAGATTCTCGCTATTCTCAGGGTCATAAAACTAATGACCCTGGGATAAGAAGTCAACGTCCCAGTCTGTCTCTGGGGTCTTATCTGAGCTGCTGTGCTGGGTCTTCTCTCTGCACTCATAAATGCCTGTCAGCGTGTCTATGTGGGAGCCCTATTCCCCTGAGACACTCCAAGAAAAAAGCGTTTGGTGGATGAATCTGTTTAGGAAATAACTACAAGTTGCATTTCTCTGCTTGGTTTTTCAAATGCTTGTTAGCATATGAAAGGCTCTGAAAAATCCTTCAGTAAAAAAGCTAGTTGAACTGTGTAATCAGTGTTTCCCAGAGCTTCAACTGTGGAAATCTTACGTTTATGTATTTCTGTGCATAACACCTATTAGCATATTGGGGGACGTAACTTGGGTGCCAATGGCTTTTATCACTGTGGAGAGAAGCGGGGATTGTCTGGTAAAGGGTCCTGGGAGCTCTCTGGGTCGGCTGGCATGGGGAGATCTGGGCTAGGCGCTTCCCCACACAGCAGGAGGGGCCGTGCCCAGAGTCACCTTCCCCAGGACTGGTGTCTGCATCCACGGTGTTTGTTCGCCCTTGGATAAGGCCACTCTCATGCTCAACGCATAAAACAGGAGGGCGCGTGGCTCCTGGTACCTTTTAGCTGCAGCCCAGCCCAAGCACGCTTTTCCACAGGGACCTGTGGCCTGGCTCAACTTCTGCCCTCTGGTTCCTGAGCCTCTTAGAGGGCGATTCCTTGTGAGTTTTTCAAGAACATCAACCCCACAAGCCTGGCCTTGTTTTCTCACTGTCTCGTGTCTCCCCATTGGAATTTTAACCTTCTAGGGGACCAGGGACACTGCCTTCCCACTGTGTCCTCTCAGCCCCCAGCTCGTGCTGAGCGGACAGTTAAGTGCCCAGATTGTTCCTGTTGGCTTGCGTGTGAGGGAATGATCCTGAGCGTCTGTCACAGGGTTTGGCGCAGGGAAGGGTAAATGGCGATGCTGTAAATCCCTTGATTTATTGCCAAAGCCCTCCCCACCCCGCCCCAAGCAGAATAGAAGGATGTCCCAGAGGCAGAGAGTACTGTGGGGTGCGATGCACGGAGCCGACTGGATCTCTGCGTCCTGAGCAACTGTCACTGCCGCCGATGGTTCGTTTATTGGTTTTGGTGGTGATTTGATGTCATTAGGGATTCAGGTCTCATCTCCATCTCTGAGATCATCTGAATAACAGTGTGAAGAGGAAGAGAATAGAGGAGACAGGCATCCACGGGCAGCCTGGATCGGACGGTATAAATCTCCGGGGAGAGCCTGGCCTTCCCAGCTGGCGGGCTTGAGGCTGAGCGGAGCCGGCAGTGTTTGTCATCACCCCAAAGTGACCATGAGAGGTACCACGCGAGTCTCAGTCATGCTCCTCCTCGTGACTGTGTCCGACTGTGCCGTGATCACAGGGGTAAGTCGCCCAATATTCTCTACTCCCTGGGTTTTGGGAGGACGTCAGGGTCTGCGTGGGTTGGGCGCCAGGAACCGAACAAGAGGCAAACCAAGGGTGTGGGGAGCCAGCCACCAGACAGCACTTCCGAGAGGCATTTCACAGAACTTTCACGTTAGTTAGACCTCACTCTGCTAAAGGGCATCTGCTTTTGAGAAACTGTGTGTAAATCAGATTCTGCTCTCAGTGCATTAGGAGAGCATCGCAAATTCTGAAGTTTGGAACTTTGGTCAAAAGAAGATTCCTATTGTGTAATAATGAATTCTTTTAGAATGTGGATTAGCACCCCCTAATCTATCTTTTGTGTAAACTTTGGTTTTCATGTATGGTCTAGACCACATGTCAAGTGTAATTTACGTAGCAAGTTGACTTAAAGGCTGTGACCTTATTTAGCTTCTATTGGGTACGTTTAATCTCTGCTTTCTCTACTCTGAAAGAAAGCCTGTCCTGAAACTCTTTCTTTCCCTTATGGTTTATGTGTTTTCACTCGGTGCCCAGGTCTGATAAGAATAAGGGCGACGCCAACACCTGGCTGAGTGACCCAGAAGCAGGTGTCGGATAACAAGTAGAAATCCGGTCCCACTGTGGGCACACCCGGGCGGGCACATCATAGTATTCGAGACACCCCAACTGTGGTTCTCTCTCAGAAGTTTGGCTTCACCTGGACCTACCCTCACATGGGCACATGTTGTGTGACAGCGGTGGGACAATTCTTACCGAAACAGAAAGTAATGGCTTACCTGAGAGTTTTCCAGATAAAAGCCACCAGAAAAAAAAAGAAAAGAGGGACATTCATTTTTGTTTCAACTTCCTCTGACTTTTTACACAGAGAATGGAAATGTAGAGAAAGGCCAAACCATTCCTGGAATTGGATTAATTTTAATGTTCACAGAAAGGGAAATTTCTTTCTTCTCCCTTTTAGAGGAAAAAGACTGAGTTTCAAAGAAGAACAAGTATCAAAGGCAAGCCAAAGCTTTGAAGACCCAGAGCATAAATACAACTGTCAGGGCAGAATTGTACCTAATGAATGTAAACCACCAAAGGCTGTCTTCCTATTGTGTAGCTTGGAGATCAGGAGGGTAAGAGCAGAGGATAGAAGCCGTGGTTACCCCGCCGAGAGGGACGGGTGCAGCCGGTTGACCCTGAGTCTGGCCCGGGATGGGGGAGCGGAGGGGCGTGGGAGGCAGGTCTGAGAGATGAGGAAATATCTTCCTAGTAAAGGCTCCAGTTTGACACTTTGCAAAGCACAGAAGGAGAGGAAGCTGCGGTAAGAGGACACACATGACAGATCCGACCACAGGTAGTTAGAACTGTTCCCTCTGCGCTCCGGGCCTTGCTGCTGCCCTGAGTCTGACCCTCAGGAAGAGGCTGGGTTCTACCATCCCCGCACTCCCCTGCTCCCAGGACTGTGACCATCCCAAATGCAGGCCTGGGGGGTCCCTCTTCCCAGAGGGCGACAGCGATGCCCCACCTCTCTGGTGGAAGAGTCAGGTGGGGTCTACTCAGCCCTAACCCTGAGCTTTCAGGGACCGGCTGGTGTGTGAGAAATGCCCTCACTAGGCTGGAGACCGGAGTGGCGAGGTGACTGCCACCTACACCTCCTCTGCGTGATGAGCAGCCCCGGCATCTCCCACCTTCCTCCTGGGGCCGAGCACATTGCGGGTCTTACAGTTCCTGCCTTGCCCCACAGCAGCCAGAGGGCACTCCATGGCCTCGTGTTGGTAAATAAGAGCCCAAACCCCGCTCCCAATTTTGGCTCAGAAAAGCTGCAAAGCTTCTCTGGAAGTGGAAAGCCTGGGTGCTTCTCCAGTGTGGCCTCCTGTGAGTCTGGAGCCGTTCCGTTCTGTCTTTCCCAATCCAGGCTTTTGTTTAAAGTGGGCTTGTGTGGCTTTACAGACGGCACCTTCCAGGTCACTTAGCCCCTGCTCTGGGAGCCCAGCCCAGAGGGGTCCATCCCTCTCTGGGGGCCAGGCAGGCCAGCAGAGAAGCCCCAGGGGAAACACCTGTCAAAGGGGTGCTGGACCCTCAGATGAGGCTGGGCTTCTAGTGAGGACCGAGGGGGACACCATGGGCAGGGGAGGCACCAACCCTGAGTGCTGCCAGGTGAGGGCTGGAGAGTCCACATCCACAGAAACTCAGCACTGACCCCCTGGGGTGCAGGCCATTGGGGCCCTCCCCCGCCTGAGGATTTGAATTAATTCAACCCCACCAGCATCCACGGAGCATCTCCTGTGCTAGAAAAGCTCCACCTCTTAAGCTCTAGTCCCTCAGAAGAGGACAGCCTCCCTACCGAGTGACCTCGAAGGAGTTGGGGGCTCCTCCCATCCAGGTCTGCTGCTCAGCTGAGCCCCGAGCACCCTGCCGAGAGAGGCGCGGGGGCAGCAGTGCCCTAGGTGTCCCGGGAGGCCGCGGCCTGGGTGCCGTTCCCAGCACCTCTCTCAAGGGCTTTTGGATGTGCGTTGCCTCTGGTTTCTCTGGGTTGGGCCTAATGGGCACTAACGACCCCTTTGTCTTCCACCCCGCAGGCCTGCGAGCGGGACGTCCAGTGCGGGGCGGGCACCTGCTGCGTAGTCAGCCTGTGGCTGCGTGGGCTGCGGGTGTGCACCCCGCTGGGGTGGGAAGGAGAGGAGTGCTACCCCGGCAGCCACAAGGTACTGCTCACACTTGCTCAGGGCACAAGGCCACGAGCCAGAGCCGGCACTGGACTGCAGTGTTCTGACTCCAGTCTAGGAATATCTCACTGCCTCCTTGCTTCGGGGGTGGCCTGGGGTACAGTGGGGTCCCAATCACACAGCCTGTTAGACCTGCGGGCTGGGACCCCAGCTCATTTGCTGAAGGGTCCTGGGCGTCAGTCACCTCATGCATACAACGAGGGGAGTAGACTGACACGTCTGATGTTTGTTGCTGATCTGATGAATTCCAGCTCTGAGAGGCTCCTGAATGCCCTTTGCTGCACGGCATCCTTCCCTCAAGAACACGACATGGGAAGACTGTAAAATGGGCTCCCAGCCAGGGCCTGGGGTGGGGGAGGGGCAGGGTGAGGCTGGCCAGGCCCCTGCTGCACACACTTTAAGGAGGTTCACCCTTCTGTGCCCCAGGTGCCCAGCGCCTGCCTTGCTCCCTCGGGAGCTCCCAGCCCAGAGGGCACAGAAAGGCCACAAGGCCTTTGCTTCTGAACGTGAGGTGGATGCAGCAGCAACTGTGGGCTTGTACACCCTTCCTGGGGCTTCCTGCGCTCCAGGACGCCCTTCAAGCCCCTCTGGGGAGCACACCTGCACCCAGGAGCATCCTCCGGCTGTGGTCCTCTCTGGCAGGGCCTGCCTGGGAGTGAGGTGGTGGGGGGAGACAGACGGGACAGAGTACAGTCCTCGTGGTCCTGGGGTGTGTCAGGGGGTTCAGCCGCAGATCTCTATTCCCAAAGCAGGCAGCAGAGGTGATACAAGCTAATGCGGGGTGCTTGCTATGTGCCACCCTTCGTATTAAGTGCTCTTTGCAGTTTAAACCTCTTTAGGTGTATAGTGTAAACCCCTTTACAACCATAGGTGGTCGCCTCTATTATTAATCCATTTTACAGACCATAAATTGAGGCACAGAGAAGCTAAATAACTTGTCAGTTGCCACACAGCTGGGAAGTGGCAGACCTAGGACTGGAGCCCAGGCTGCCTGACTACCTATGCTCTGAACCTCTCCTACTCATCCCCTTTGAGGAAAGCTCAGTGGTTTCGCCCTCCTCTGGGTGTGAATCACCCGGCAGGGACCACCTCCTGTGTAGCTACACCCCCGGCACCCAACACGGGATGGAGAGTATAATGGGTGAGCTATAAGTGATAGTCAGTTACGGATGTAGGTGTGAGTTTGTGAGTGATCACGTGTGCTGGGTCAGCGAGGGGCCCCGGGGGGGCAGTGTGAAGGCCTGTGGGGTTTTAGGGCTGTGGCTGTTCACAGTGTGTCACAGCCAGATTGCCTGCGTTCAAATCCTGGCTCCTCCACACGTTGGCTGTGTGATTTTGGCATGTTGCTTAGCCACTCTGTGCCTCAGTTTCCTCCTCTGTAAAACTGATTTTGTTGTGCTGGGGTGGTGGCAGTGAGACATTGGCGAGGGCTGGGCCGGCCAGAGGCTCCTGCCCTGGGGGCCCATCTCCCTTTGGTGAAGGTGCCACCCTCTTCTCTTCTCTCCCCAGGTCCCTTTCTTCAGAAAACGCCAGCACCACACCTGCCCCTGCCTGCCCAGCCTGCTGTGCTCCAGAGGCCGGGATGGCAGGTACCGCTGCTCCACTGACTTGAAGAACATCAACTTGTAGGAGCTTGTCTGGTCTCCGGTCACCCACCGGGCCTCTTCCTGAGCACAGGCTGGGGTGGTCTCTCTTGGACTTTTATTTCTGCCCTGTGGCCCAATCCTGCAACCCACTGCTGTCGCATCCCCACTCCCCACACTGCCTACTTACCCCCCTCCTCCCTAGCGCACACAGGTGCACCCACGAGACACACGCCACAGGGTGACCTGCAGGGTCCAGGCTGGTGGCTGTGGTCCTGGGAGTAGTCTGTGTGCGCTGCTCAGGCTGCCTGAGGGGCAGCAAGTAGCAGGAACATATTCCTTCCTCATGTCTCAGTCTGCCTGCCCTGCCTCTCTCCGTCCTGCACGTACTCCTCTGCCTGAGCTGGTGAGCTCGAGGAAGGCGTGGGGAGCCAGGAGGTCAGTCGGCCTCCAGACGGCTTCTACGGGGCCAGCCTGTGGCCTGCCCCCCGGGCCAGAACTGTGGGCCTCCAAGGCCCCTCGTAGCGCAAGTTACGTTACCCAGCGATGCCCCCAGTCCCACCGCCTCCCCATGAAACGCAGACGGTGGTGGTTCAGTCTAAACCAGCTGCTGACATTTTAGGTGGCAATGAGGGAGTTACCTTCGACAGCTCCTTCCAAGGGTCAAGATCAGGTCTGTGACCTTGAGGAGGCCTCTGGCATCTGGCCAGCTTGGGGAGGGGTCAGGAGCGGGGGTGGGGCAGGCCGATCACTGATTTCGGACACAGGAGGCAACTACCATCCAGGACCACAGCCAGGCTGCATGTGCCCCGCATCGAAACAAGTCATCTTCTCTAGAGAGTGAGGTCTGCCTGAAGTTCAAAGCAGTTTGTCTGGGCGTTATATCACTGGTCTCCATCTCGTCTGAAACACCAGCCTCACTCAGCACCTCACATTTGGCCCCTGCCCGAGGCTTGCCCAGGTCAGCATGCTGATGCCGGAAGCTGTGCACACTGACCACTAGTTGCAGAATAAAAGCATGAAAAAGGGGCGAGTGGCCATGGTGTTCCTGCTGCACTGGTGTGGGGACGTGGAGAGGGGACAGGACTGGGCTGTGTCCAGGTAGGAGAGAGATGCAACTGGAGTTCCTCCACCCAGCTGGGGCAATTTTTTGGAGAAAGTGGATTCAGGGTCTCTTTTAATGAAGGACTCAAGGCAGCTCAGTGGGCTCTGGGTGGAGAGGGTGTGGTTCAGATGGATTGGATACAGGTGGGGGCCGTGAGCTGGCATCTGGGTGGGAAGACCATTAGTGAGCTCAGGACGGTGGCAGCTCCCTTTTCTGAAATTTAGTCCCTTTTGTTTAGTGTCAAATACTTGATGCCACTCAGTTCACCGTGTGTGGGTGAGAAAGTCCATATCAAGGATGGGCTGGTGTGGCCCTGAGCCTGTGTCTGAACCAGGAGCTGGGAATATCTCCTAAGTGCCAGGCTACTATCCCCATGGTGCCTTCTCACCTCAATCCCTAGTCTAGGAAAATGCAAAACATAAGATGAAAACACGAATAAAATATCTAGGAATAAACCTACCTAAGGAGACAAAAAACCTGTATGCAGAAAATTATAAGACACTGATGAAAAATATTAAAGATGACACAAATAGATTGAGAGATATGCCATGTTCTTGGATTGGAAGAATCAACATTGTGAAAATGACTATACTACCCAAAGCAATCTACAGATTCAATGCAATCCCTATCAAACTACCACTGGCATTTTTCACAGAACTAGAACAAAAAATTTCACAATTTGTATGGAAACACAAAAGATTCCAAATAGCTAAAGCAATCTTCAGAAAGAAAAACAGAGCTGGAGGAATCAGGCTCCCTGACTTCAGACTATACTACAAAATTACAGTAATCAAGAAAGTATGGTACTGGCACAAAAACAGAAATATAGATCAGTGGAACAGGATAGAAAGCCCAGAGATAAACCCATGCACATATGGTCACCTTATCTTTGATAAAGGAGGCAAGAATATACAGTGGAGAAAAGACAGTCTCTTCAATAAGTGGTGCTGGGAAAACTGGACAGTTACATGTAAAAGTATAAAATTAGAACACTCCCTAACACCATACACAAAAATAAACTCAAAATGGATTAAAGACCTAAATGTAAGGCCAGACACTATCAAACTCTTAGAGGAAAACATAGGCAGAACACTCTATGACATAAATCACAGCAACATCCTTTTTGACTCACCTCCTAGAGAAATGGAAATCGAAACAAAAATAAACAAATGGGACCTAATGAAACTTAAAAGCTTTTGCACAGCAAAGGAAACCATAAGCAAGATGAAAAGACAGCCCTCAGAATGGGAGAAAATATTTGCAAATGAAGCAACTGACAAAGGATTAATCTCCAAAATTTACAAGCAGCTGATGCAGCTCAATATGAAAAAAACAAACAACCCAATCCAAAAATGGGCAGAAGACCTAAATAAACACTTCTCCAAAGAAGATATACAGATTGCCAGCAAACACACGAAAGAATGTTCAACATCATTAATCATTAGAGAAATGCAAATCAAAACTACAATGAGGTATCATCTCACACTGGTCAGAATGGCCATCACCAAAAAATCTACAAACAGTAAATGCTGGAGAGGGCGTGGAGAAAAGGGAATCCTCTTGCACTGTTGGTGGGAATTTAAATTGATACAGCCACTATGGAGAACAGTATGGAGCTTCCTTAAAAAACTAAAAATAGAACTACCATACGACCCAGCAATCCCACTACTGGGCATATACCCTGAGAAAATCATAATTCAAAAAGAGTCATGTACCAAAATGTTCATTGCAGCTCTATTTACAACAGCCAGGACATGGAAGCAACCTAAGTGTCCATCGACAGATGAATGGATAAAGAAGATGTGGCACATATATACAATGGAATATTACTCAGCCATAGAAAGAAATGAAATTGAGTTATTTGCAGTGAGGTGGATGGACCTAGTCTGTCACACAGAGTGAAGTAAGTCAGAAAGAGGAAAACAAATACCGTATGCTAACACATATATATGGAATCTAAGAAAAAAAAATGGTCACGAAGAACCTAGGGGCAAGACGGGAATAAAGACACAGACCTACTAGAGAATGGACTTGAGGATATGAGGAGGGGGAAGGGTAAGATGTGACAAAGTGAGAGAGAGGCATGGACATATATACACTACCAAACGTAAAATAGATAGCTAGAGGGAAGAGCCGCATAGCACAGGGAGATCAGCTCTGTGCTTTGTGACCACCTAGAGGGATGGGATAGGGATGGTGGGAGGGAGGGAGACGTAAGAGGGAAGAGATATGGGAACATATGTATATGTATAACTGATTCACTTTGTTATAAAGCAGAAACTAACACACCATAGTAAAGCAATTATACTCCAATAAAGATGTTAAAAAAAAAAAAGATGAAAACACGTTGTGTCCTTGTGTTTCTCAGAAGCCTCTGAGAAAACTGGTTTCTGAGGTCTAGGGGCTCCTGGCTTCCCTTATTTGCCCTTGACCCTGTCACAGCTCTGCCCAGGGTGTACTCAGGACAGGCTTTACTGCAGGACCCACCCAGCCCGGGCCTGTGCCCCACACAGGGCGTGTTCTTCAGTTTGGCTCTGTTGACAGATACTGACTCCTGCTCTGCGGACTTGTCCCCTTCTTCCAGCCCGTGAGTCTCCTTGCCCCTGACTTTCAGGCTCAGGTACTGGCTACAGAGTTCCTTTCCACGTCCAGGAATCCAGTTTGCCCATCCTGTCCTTTGGATCTCCAGGAACTGCTTCCTGCTGCCAGGTCATGCTGTGTGTGAGGCCTTTCCCAGTCCTGCCACCCTCTGCAAGCAGAGCCAGCCTGGGTGGGGCACCGCTGCAGTCTTCAGTGCAGGGAGCGGAGGCGCGGGGTGGCTGCAGGCACGAGGGGCACCCCTCTCCATCCCCACAGGGAGCTGGCTGATCTGCAGACCCATGGAAGGGCTGAACCTTCCCTTTACACTAACTGGACTGATTCTCACTTTCTGTATCAGAATTTCAAGGAATGGATAATTGGTCTCTGCTCCAGTTCCCTGTGATTTTTCCTGAAGACTGGAGAGAACACAGGGGAGGATGGGGAGGCTGGGGAGGCTAAGAAAAGTATATTTGTGAGAATTCTTTATATTCAAGGATATATTCTTCATAAACATAGTTATAAAAAGAATCAAATTATAAGAATAATATATCCATAATAAGAATATATTCTAGACGAATTAAGAGTTAGAATTAGGTGAAGTAAATGGGCAGCCCTTCAAGATGTGGGTCCCTTTAGTGACAGCCTGACTTCCCCTTATTTGCTGCAACCCTTCCTTCCCAACTGGTGGAGTCTTGTGCCATCTATTGGCTAAAGTGGGGATGGCACAGAAGAGCTGAGGTGGGAAAGATGGAAGCATCAGAAGGATGAAACCTCTCAAAGCAGATGGGAACCACTCCCCAGACATTCCAAGTGTTAGATTCAATCAGAGGTTTAGAGGGACAACGTTTCCACCTCTGTAAAGAGGGCTTCCACAGTAAGGAGCGCATGATAAATGCTTAATTGCCCCTTTGGGTCTGGTCCCACCTTACAAACTTCCTTCCTGGAAGCCTCTGTCATCTTCCTGTAAGACATCTCCTCTCACGGCTTCTCCAGGATTAGGAAAGTGGAGGTGGATGGGGGTCAGAGGAAGATGACTGGATGCCCACTGGCCTGTCTGTGTACACCAGGGCACGGCACAGGAAGAGCTGCCTCTCTCCCCAAATCTTCGTTTTCTCTGCTGGTCATGATGGTTAGTGCTTCCACTGCCCCCTAGTATCAAGTCTGAAGCTCAAGAGAAGTCTAGACTTTTCTGTCTCCTACTGTCCCTTCTTCCTGAGCTCCTTGTCAACTGGCCACCAAATTCTGTTTCTATTACCTCTTAAAGGTCTCTCGACCCTGCCCCTTCTCCCTCCAGCCGTTGCTGTGTCTGAGACCTCATCCTGCCTGGTGTGGTCTGGGGCAACTGCTTCCACCTATTCTCTCTGCCTCCAGTTTCCCCTTAACTTCCACCCCTGCGTGTCCACCAGTCATCCTTCTAGGCAGCGCATTTCCCCGGTTCTTTCCCCATGAAAAATTCCCCCAATGGCTTCTCAACAACAAAGGAGAAAGCCCAGTCTACTCAGGGAGCGAAA